GTCCTTGTTTAGCAGCTGCTCCTCCGCTGACTCTGGACCTTTCTGGTTCTCAATGGCAGAGGGCAAGAGCGACCCGTTGTGTGGCATGTATGCCCAGGGGTTTCTCCATGTTGGGATGATTCACGCATGGCCCCAGGCGGGCCTCCGTGGCTGGCATGTGGTGGGCCAATTGTGTCATTGCTTCTCTGTGCCATGATAGTTCTTGACCGCGCAGTGGTGGTTGGAGTGAGGGTGCCGGTGCGGCTTCCCAGGCGCCGACTGCCCGCCTCCCGGGCACCTGCATGGCTAGGGTCTGGCCCAAAGGCCGGGGCTTCCTGCCACATGGCTTCCCTGGTGCCAGTGGCCCACCTCCTGGGCACCTGCGTGGCTAGGGTCTGGGCCACAAGTTTCATTTTTTATGTTGCTATTATTTCTCTAACTTTCTGATGTGATTTTTGGTTTTTTCTAAAATGTAATTGTTTCTAATTTTTGCTGAAGCAGCCATATCTAGGTCCCTGAAATGAATGTCCTACATTCATTTTCATTCTGATATTTACTCCTCAATATTTAATCAAGCCTTGCATTTGAATCATTTGTCTTTTTAAAATTTATGATTTAGCCGGGTGTGGTGGCGCACACCTGTAATCCCAGTACTTGGGAGGCTGAGGCAGGAGGATCATTGAGCATTCAAGACCTGCCTGGGCTACAAAGTGAGCTCAAGGCCAGCCTGAACTGCATAGCAAGACCCTGTCTCTAAAAGACAAAAAAAAAAATAAATAAAAAACATAAATTTATGATTTAATCTCTAATTCTGAGGAATATTGTAAATGTGTTTCTACTTTTGGCATCAAATTTCATTTTAATAGGCATGTGAGCCTGCTTTGCAGTTTTCATTACCTTGAACACATTATATTTTTTTCCAACTTTTGTTATTATGTTTACACTACACAATGATTACATTCATGGTAGGGAGTTGGTACATGTCCATAACGTATTTCAATTTCTTTCCCTCTAGAAATTTGTTCTCTCTTATTGCTCTAAACATGTTCTATGAGTGAATATTTCTTCTGATTGTGAGAAGACATTTTACTATGTAATTATTGTATGAAGTATTATGCCAATTTCGTCAATCTTAAGGAAGCATGATGTTGTTAATTTTAACTGTCTCATTATAGATTTTCCTCTTTCCTCAGCTATTAATCAGTGATGGAGTTGTTTTGACATCTTCAGACAGAGTTATGCATCGATTTTTCTCTTCACATTCACGTTTGGCCTCATGTAATTTGATGTTCGGTTGAGTGGAGTATTGTAGTCAAGGTTTTTAAGGTAATAGATTTCATAGAGAATAAATAATGTATAGGATTATTTTATAATATTCACCCAAAAGTGTCAGATGCAGAGAAGTGCAATAGATCTGTCCATGTGCTAGAGACCCAAAAAATCCAGCTAAGGGCCTGTATCCCATGACAGTGTCCTGCACAAGTCCCACTGAAGACCTGGAACCCATGGCAGTATCCTCCATGAGTCCAGCTAAAGGCCTAGAGCCCACAACAATGTCTCA